TGTAAAATTGATGGGTACACGAATAATGTTCAACTCTCTGAAAATGCCAAATCCAAAAATGGTGATGATCCACTGAAAAAATCTGATAAATTGGATGTGAATTTAGACAAACCCTCAACAAAAGTAGCGGATTGGATTGGTGAACCACCAAGGAAGACTTTGAATGTCAGATTTACATTAAATGCAGAACAAGACCTACAACGCTTCAGACCTGCAGGAAATATAACAGGTATTTAATGTTTATCATTGATACACAAAAATATAGTAGCAGAAGACACCCTTCCTCTATGCATTTTGTTTGCACTCCGACAGTACGTCGTTACATCGACCTCCGCTGCGTGACTGTCGATACTCCCACTGTACTGTCTTTGTGCATACTTTGCGCTATCCTCATAATAATCTCATATTATAATGACAATAGTCGTGTTCACGCTACACATGAAGTACGGGCTAAGATTTAAGCTAATCTTGTATTTTTGCACATTAGATCATCCCAAATGCCAGTTCACGCCTGGGAGAAAACAGTGGTTAGCACGGGCCAAGGAATGCCCAATATACAAAAATCTTTAGTCATTTTAACTATGATTACCAGTACAGTAACTTGGAAGGTATACATAAAACAATACCAAAGCAAATTTAGAAAGTGCAGATTGCAGAATAATGGGAAGTAGCACAGAGTCACAGAGCACTGCAATTCAGCAGCGCCACCAAGTGGGGGAGATTCTATCTACCAGGGTGTGGAGTTTTTGATAATTCTAAGTTAAAATGGATCATTCTATGGCTTCCTTGGGACCAAAATTACTATCAGACGTGTGATCCCTGGTCATTCAGAATTTTATGGTTGTCAGAGGATCTGCTCCCCAGGGTAAGGGGGTGCATGACCATAGCATGAGGGCGCTGCGCCCCTGTTTCCTGTGAACATATAAAATAACAATAGTACCGGTACTTATTATTTACTGCAAAGTTTTTGAATGTAAAACAATTAGTTTTATAATATATAAACTTACACTGTAAATAGACGGGTCTGATTCTTATAATCCTCACTAGGATATTTACACTTTTATTGAATATAAATTACACTTGGTTTTGAAAAAATATGAAAGTAACTAAAATATTTTTGTTTCTATATGTAATTGTTTTCAGGTGCAGAAAAAAACGACTTTGTATTCGACTTTTTTGAGGATGCACTTGAAGCTAAGAAAGCCATTAGAGACATTCTTGAATCTGATCCAAGATCTACTTACAGACGATATCAGTGTAAAGACAGTCTTTATTACTTTACTATTGACACTATGCATATCACATGCTGGTTTGATGACAATGTTGTAGAAGTGGTTAAAATAAAACCTGCTCAGAGAAGATAAACCTGTACAAGTATAATCACACAAGTGGAGTGTGTTTATGATAGTGAATGCCATTGTGTGCAGCATCTTGCAAAACATCTTCACTATGCCTTACCATGCCTTGCCAGATGCCTTCAATAATAAAAGTGAAATATTTAAAAATGGTTGCTTTGAATATATTATATTTAATTTACATAAATACAAAAGGGTCTTTAGTGTGTAATTTTCTCATTAATAATTCAATACCTATCACATGACATTGAAAGTATCATTCAAGTACTTGTAATTGCAGCATTCAGAATTAATTGTTATCACAGGTGCACCTAACTCACTAATGTTGTCCATATCCAGATGGTAGCATAACCTTGTGTATTGTTGTGTTCCCATCCTCTGACCACCAGTTGCCATTTCTGCAGCAATGTGATGGTCATGTACTACCAATACGTATAGCAGATCCAGTTACATTTACCACAAAACATTACAATACTTTAACATTTGATCACAATGTGGTGCACTATTGTCACCCTCTAATTATGAGGCATATCTGTAACGTAAATATTCATTGATATTTTTCTAATCTGAGGGTCACCCATCAATAAAAAAAGAATTTTTCTTGCATATTTATCTGCTTGACATGATGAAAGCTGTTAATTGCTCATTAGCTAATTCGCATAACAATGAGCAGAACAACTTCTCATGAATGATATACGATCTGGAGTGCAAGCTCACCAAATGCACAAAATAATTCCAAATTGCTTAGTGATATTTGAGAAGTCATCTTCAGACAGACTGAACTCCACATAAATGCATTAATTCTGGTAAAATATGTTGCATTTCATATCCCACATCTGCGGTTGAATTTTTTATAGGGTCTCAAGTTTTCACAAATTGACACTGATAGCGCTGTTTGAACATAAACTGAGTTACAAGCAGCTCTTATGTACAATGATACAACATATCTGTAAATGTTGGTGAAAACCCTTTAAATTTTGAGTAACTTGGTTAAAAATAAAATCAAGCAGCCAATAACTTCACCAGAGGAATGAATTTCGTCATGAAATTAAAGATATTATCAATATCATCACAAATGCTTATAAGAAGACAAAAAAACAAGCCAGAAGACTGATTGGCTCGGGACACAATCAGTTTGTTGGTCATTGCCATGGCAATGGTAGGACATGATTTTTGTGTCGAATTTTGTATCAATATCATGAACAACACACAGACGTAGTTTGAAAAGACATGAGAGTTAAATCTATGCATAATAATTATCCATTTTTTTCAAGAAAACAATTATTGCATTTTTGCATTAGTTTTGGATTGAAATTACAACATACTATTTGATGATTGCGTTCTTCATTTGTACTTCATATGTCTCCAATACGTTCAGAAAATTGACGAAAAAGTTACTTCTGCGTCAAATTCCCTGGTAAATATAAAAAAAGCAAATATTGACTTTG